TATGCAAGTGATCAGGAATATTCAGCAACAATTAGCGTCACATCAGTGCAGCAGGATGAAGCAAGTGCAGAGCGTCTGTGCCAATTACTGAAACAGAAATGTCAGGGCCTGGATCCCTGGTAGCGTTTAAGATGGCACTGTTAGATTGGAGGAGGAGGAGAAGAGAACTGAGGTATTTGGAGGCCAGCCACTGAGAAAGAAAGGGATGAGGCTCTTAAAAGTGTCGAAATTTTGCGTTTCAGAACCTACAGTTCACAGGAAGCAACAGGGATGATTTTTTTCTGTTTTTCCAGCCATGTTGCAGGCTTGTTTCCTGGGTCCTGGCTCGGTGTTCTTATTTCTGCAGTTCTCGAATGGCTTTTCTTTCTCAGACGCTAATGAACCACATTTTTTGTTTAGCTGACAAATTTAGGAATGAACAGCTTGTCGTTTAATCAGGCAGTAAATCAGCCTGATTTTGAGGGAAACAAAAATGGAGATGAACAGGAAGACTAAAGTGTGTTTAGTCAAGATGAAGAGGAGGGGGAACGTGAAGATAATACATTTTATGTTTCTTTTAACCTGAACACATCTCAGCCAATCTGCTCATTAGCACATAAGAAAGGTTACAAATGACAGGAGGACATTTTGGTCAGCTGGCTTGCTTGATTGCTAGTAGCTCATTAATCCAAGGAATTCATCCAGCTCCTCCTTGAAAGTAGCCAAGATAATCAGCTTCAACGATAAGACTGCGTAGGTTGTTCCAACCTCCCACAAGCCTTTATGTAAAACAGAGCCTCCTGTTGTCCCATGTGCCCTTCAAGGCTTTCACAGAACTGCCACGGCAAGCCCAGTTGTAGCCTGCCATTCCAGGCATAGTGACAGTGTGGAAACCAGCACTGCTGCAAGGTCACTCCGCTGTCGGGAGTTACCCCTGCGCCCGCCGTGTTGGAGACTGCGTGACGCAAGGGGCGGGGATACTGACAAGGGCTTCTGCCGCCAGTGGAGGAGGTCAGCTTTCAGAAGGTCGAAGAATGTGGAAACTGGGAAACTGGAGATGCCCTGTCAAAGACAGCCTCTCCTGAAGAAAGGGCCGAGTCGTTCCTTTACAAGCTCTGTTCACCGACTGCGTTACTGTATAGGATAAGCGTTCAGAGAGGGTGCACTTCCTCACTAACCCAGTTTCACAGCGTCCCCCTGGTCTGCCATGGCCATGCCCTGCTTATGTTTTGCATATGTTGCTGTGTCCTGGGGTTTGTATGAAGCTTCACTGTACTTTCCTGTGCTCTGAGTTTGCCACAGTTGCATCCTGGTTTGCTTTACTTTATTCCTCTTTGACCACAGTGTACCATTGTAAGCAGTTCTAAGGGACGTTTCTCTCAGCTCTCACCTGTACCTTAATTTTGAAGTCTGTAAGAGGTTCGGCCAGGCTCTCTACCAGCTTGTGTCATCAGCAGCTGTCTGCCTGTGGCCTGTCAACCTGCAGACAGGATCAGAGTGGGCAATTTTAAACTGACACTGATCTGCCCACGGCTAGGCTGAGTGACAGAGTGTCTCTGCAAGCTTCTGAAATTTAAACATTGTGGGTATCATGATGGCTGGGTGGTGTATAAATTGTACTGTGCCATACTGGTCTTCATAGCTGTTGTATTTGCTCCTCAAGCAATAGAACAACGGCAAGATTTCTGTGGTACAGCTGTACTCTTGTGGTGTACTACAGTATTCTTCAGCTTCTACTGCTGCTACTGTACCACTACCACTATTACTTCTACTAAAAGTGCTACTGCTGCTTCTTATAATTAATATAAATTAAAGTTAACATGCAGTGTTACAGGCAGAGAGAGATAGCCTTTTACTGAGGCCTCTTCGTTATTGGTGTTCGTTTTTAATCGCGTGTTGTCTTAGAGTCATCCAGATGCTTGATCTTGGTCAACAGAATGGAGTTGTATGTAGTAGATGACAAACACAAGTACAGTTATTGATAAGGAAAGAGCCACTATCGGTCAGCTTTGTACCTTTGCTCAGTCCTTGGCTAAGTGCTGGCTCTAACCCTGAAACTCTGAAACATACCAAGAGCCCTATACCTGCATCTACTGGTAGATCTAGATCAAGAGTTTCAGTGCTCTGTTTGTTTCTTTCTACACAACTGTAGGTCTTTTATCTTGAAATCAATGCCTTTTTAAAAGTTCAAACCATTACAGTATACAGCACAACACTAAAACTTTATTTGCAGTCTATGTCGATATCTTATCTGTGTATACATGGTCTGGGTCAGGACAGCCTAAGTTGCTGCCCTTGCACTGTGCTCTAGTGTTTCAATACAACCAGTGCCTTAATTGTTACATTGATCCCGCTAATTATCAATTAAATAATTAAGGAGCAGTGGAGTGGATGGAATGGGACCACAGGCTGAGTACCCGTGTATGTTTCTGCCTGGAAATGCTGTGCAAAGTGAAAAGGGGAGATGACTGTGTGCTCTTGCTATCGACATCCGCGCTGTTGCATGCTGGAGCGGACTGGACTCGCCGTGGTGAGGAGAGGAAGAGGGGAAGCTGACGAGACTAGGAGGTGCTCTGGCACAGAACGGCCGCAGTCCTGGGCACTGGACCCTCCTGATACAGGCAGACATGGCACACAGGGCAGTCAAGCAGAGCGATGCAGTGCACTTAACAAAACAGCAGCTGGGTTGAACATAGAGAACTGATGACCTGCTCTGTGGGTGAGGTGCTGCTCAAACCTTTGAAGAGGCACAAAAGTTTGTGCTTTAGCCTGAGCCTTTGTCCTGTTACCCCTTTAATTAACCTTGAGTGGTTTTAGAAACGCTTTCAGCACAGGTTTGTTTATATTGTTAGAATGGTCTGTGGTGCGGGAGCGATCGGCAGCATACCGGAGCAGGTTGCTACTTCTTCCAAAATGTGAATCACTCTGCTGACAGTCACATCCAGTGTTTATGTTGGACTGCATTTTAATTGGGTCATTACTCCATTAAGAAATGGGTTGTTAAGTGCCATTTTGCATTTGGTAATGTTTCTACATGCCCAGATAGAGCAGTGAACTCGCTGGAGGGCTTCTTTATCCCTTCAACATCTCATGAGTATGGGTAGCTCACTGCATTTGGATCAGGATGGGTTAGCGTGGGTAGTAATTAATGTAATGCAAATACAGATCAGCCACTAAAGGGCATCTGCTGAACAGGGCAGTGTGTAAATCAGTTGATGAGTTTTGTGAGTATATTAGGGAGCAGATTCCATGTTGGAGTGCAGTAATCTACGTACTGTATGTGATCTTGTGTACTATAGGGGTTTAACGGGCTGAGCAGATTGCTCGCCTGTTGAGTGCTGACCTTTACTGTCAGCTGTGTGCAGTAAAACTCAGTGTTGCTCCACTGCCAGGACATTATAGAACTGCAGCCAGCTTGCAAATCCCAGAGGCACAGCAGGCTGCACTACCAAATTAGGGAGGTGAAGGGGTGGAGCTAGCAACACTGGCAACAGGTGGAGTTCATGTGTCCGAAACAGAAGGGCCTCATAGATGAGCGAGTGTCTGTGCAACACACTCCTGCATCCAGTGCATTAAGTCTTCAGATTTTATTTTTAAAATGTGCAAGTATTTATGAAATAAAAGGTAATGTGTGCTAAGAAGTAGTAGGTATGAGAACCATGGTTTTACAATGTTTATACTATGCCTCTCCGTTGTCCAGCATTCTTTAGTATACCTTACCTCTGTGTGCTTTGCTAGTCTTTCACCGTGATTTAGCAGTGCTGCAGCATCAGAGCCCGTCTCCTGTTTTGCTGCAGATGTCCGGTGAACACCGGCCTGGGCAGACGAGGAGGGCCACCCTTCAGTGTGAAGTCCATTGCACCACTGCTCTGGGGCGCGATCGGAGCACTGCAGCAGGCAGGAATCCTGGGAGGGCTGAGGGAGTTCAGCATTGTAAACTTCTCAGGTGCAACCAGGCGGAATTCCTGTGGGTGCACTTTAGATGCAGACGAGTTACCTGGGGGTGGTTTGCATGGGGTGTACAAGTACAAGAGCTGCAGTGCTCTTTTTAACGTCTGCAGGAAGAATCAGCTCTCCTCTCTGCTCACTGCGCTCATTGCAAGAAACAGAGACAGCTCTTACACATGAAACAGGGATAAAAACATAGCACTGTAGATGTACACTTCTGGGTCCTGCGGGAGTTAACAGCGGTGAAGAGGATGCAGTTTAGGCACAGGGCGTGTAACTAGATGCTTGATAGGAATTCTGATGCCGGCAAAACTAAAACTACAAACCATTTCAATCACTTCAAATGCTGTCATTGCAAATGACGATAGAAATTATTCACATGCTCAATAGTTTTTCAGAGCTCTTTAAGTAAAAAAAAACATTAACAGTGTTAAAGTGTCCAGGGACTTTCAGAGAGCTGAAGCTGAGCTGGTCCTGTCTCAGTGCGGCTTTGCTCCATCGATGTGGTTCTTCAGCATGCAGGTGCTGGTTCAGTGAGCCAGTGTGCTGTTTTTTTTGAGGGCATCTTTCCTCTTCTTCCTCATGTCATAAAAGGACGTAGCCGCAGAACATCAGAAGGACAGATTGTGAGGCAGGCTGTCTGGAACCGGAGGTCAGCGTGGTCAGAACCCTAGGCAGCACGGATATTCGAAGCCGGAGACAGAAGGCCTCCCCAGCAGCACCAAGCGCCTCCCTGTAACACATCGCAGTAGTCGACTTCCTGAGGAAGGTCAGTCGTCCAGCCTGGCTGCGTTTTTGTAATCAAGAGCGCCTCTACTTAACTAATCCCTTAAGGGCTGGGAGGGTGTTGGCAGATAAATGGCCTGATCCACTTCTTAAAGTCTGGATTCATTTGAGTTGAGCCCTGATGACGGAGCAGTGCAGCTCCTGTGGATGTCAGGAGAGGCAGGCGAGGGAGGTGGCAGGAGTGAGCCCTCAGCCGGTGTGGAGCCACTGTAACTGGCAGAGATCTGGGGAGACTCATCGGGCGTTGGGCAGTGCGCCCCTGAGAAGTAGCACCTAGTAGCAGTTTGGCAGCTGTGAGAGCTGGGAGGAAAGATTTTCAGATTCCTGCAGCAGCTCTCAGCAAGAGGTGGCGACAGACTGGACAAAGTCATCAGCATGAGATTGTCTCTGTCCTCTGTCTTGTATTTTTGATTGCAGGAAATAGGATGCTGATTCTTACTTATATATACGGTGTAAATGACAGTTATTATCATACAGCTATTGTTTACTATTCTTGTGAATTGACTTGCTTTGTTCCCATAATGCTCTTTACTCTCTGCCTAAGATTCTTGTTATTTGTCTAAACAAATAATTGGGCCTTCAATAACTGCAAAACATAACCACCCAACAAGAAGCCACATGTTATGGTGTTGAGTGCCCCTAAGAATTAATTAAGAAAGCTTCATTTTAATTAGGTAATGTTATTGGTACTCTTGGTCTTTTTTTCTTAGACTTGCAAGGACTGTGCCCACAGAGGCCTGGCACGTCGCAAAGTGGAGACAGTCTTTAGGAGCAGGAGTGTGTTTCCTGGGCCTGTAGCGTGAATAACAAGCATGTTTTCCTCTGTTCTCTGGAGAGGTTTTATCAGAGAGTCACAGCAAGCCAATTTACATGCTATTTTAAGACCGGGGCTTCTAAAACACATCTACCCTTGAACGTCCGCAGTAAAACCGACCCAGTTGGCCACAGGCATGTACAGTATGTCTCGGCGTACGGTTTGGTGTCACACGGGGTTCCTCCTCTCCACGTGAGCTCGTGTGGTCTTGCAGGGAAACGCAGTGCCGCCACAGCCCTTCCTCTACCACAGCGGCAGTGAAGAGCCGGAGCTCAGGACCCGCTGATGGTAGCCGAGCTCCGGCCCTTCTCCGCCATCGCCCTCGTGTGCTACAGTCCTCGGGTTCCAGTTGAAGACTGGAGCTGGTATTACAGGAAGTGTTGGCCTTGTGGTAGGATATTTAATGAACATTAGAGTGATTAACATTGGATGGCTCTGGGAGAAACAAACGACTTATTCCAGCGGTGTCTGTGTGGAGGAGCCGGCATTTTGACTCGCAGAGTGCTTCGGATGTTCTCCTTCTGTGCAGTGGATTTGATTTAGGCGTTCTTCCCATTTAAATAAATCGGAGCGTTGCCGGGCTGCGGCCTCTCCGGTGCGGTTCTGTCCGGCCCGGCCTGCTGCTCCCTCCCCTGGACGCGCTGCCACATCGGGTCGGACTCGGACCGGCCTGGACGTGCAGACTTCCCAGCGCGCACCCAGTATCAAGCGAATTGACCTCAAACCGCCGTCTAATCTCTCCGGTTGATTATTCTGGCTGCGTTTTAATAGATTAATCCTTCTATCTCCGGGTAGTTACACAGTAATCTCGTCGCATGATGTTAATAGCTTGTATTAGCATAACAATGATGGCTCCTGACAGTCCCGTACTGTGCTTGGAGAGGAAGGATGGATCCAACCCTTCCCTTTACGCACTAGTAAGCATCTCGGCTGCTTGTTTAAGGCTGAAGTGCTTCTTCCCAGCAGCAGTTTCTAAAAAGAGCAGCAATAACATGGTGATCTTGCAGGAGGCAGGCAGAGTGCGGGGGAGGGGGGGGGCATGAGGGGTCCTACCAGGTGACTTCCACTCTCCACTCGAGCGAGCTGCTTTTTCAACCTCGGTCCTCGAAACCGCGCTTGTGCATCAGGGACAGAATAGGCAGCTTCAAAGCCAACCACCAGTCAAAGGTAGCGGGTGGCAGGAGTCCATGCTATTGGGTATTGGGAGCTGGGTGAGAACAAACTATAAATGTTGTTGAGAGGTTTAAATTAGGAGTGAAAGGTAGGAGTGGAATTATCTGGACCTGTAGAAAAGGCAAACAGTGCAGGTAGGACGATAGCTGCCATAGTCTGTCCTGTTCATGCTCTGTGTATACAGCAGACCGGCGGTGCTCATTTAGGCCTAGACTTGCGCCAGACATTACTATGCTCGAGTGGTAAAGCACAATGCCCAGTGTCAGAAACCACCAAACAACAGTGCTAGCATCTTTCAAGCATGGAAGACGACAAACACATTACACCCCGGTGAACTTCGATCTGAACCGGTTCTTGGGGAGCCTGATAAGGGACAGTGCCGAAAACCGCATCATGACAGCTCTGTCCTCAGGTCTTGCACAGGAGGGATTCAGCATGGAGGCAGGCCGGCCAGAAGGCCCTTTTCGCGGTGAGACAAGGGGGATTCCATCCAGAATGTTTCGCTCAGTCGGGCTCTTCTGGGCATGTTCAGCGATCAGAGAAAGGGGGCGCATTCAGGAGAGCGGAGCTCTGGCAGGCTGAGGCTTCAAACTGGGGCTCCTGACCCAGAAACCCACTGGGACCCACGAGGATTTCCTGCAGGGAGCTGCGGGGCGAGGCGCTCGTTGTGGGGGCGGCGTCCCTGGTCCAGCGCTTGTCACTGGGGTGCTGTGTGTGTTGCTAACGAGGACCAGGAGCCAGACTGCGACAGGGGTGGCGGCAGCTGTTGGCGAGATTGGCCAGGTGTTAATAGAACAGTTTATTGCAGCATCTTGAATAGTTTTAATGTTTGACATTGGTCCACAGGGGGCTTTTCTGAATATTTGCATACTATAATGATTTCTGCATGTTTTGACTGTGAACATTAGTATTTATTTACAATGGTAAAGAGTATATTAAACTTGAACTTTACCTTGCTTTTACCGTGGTGTGGCAGTACCTGCCACTGCTGCTCGGTTACCTGGTTTAGGTGTTTGTAGAGGACTGTACAGGGTCTCATGGTTCTGCAGGCTGCAGGCAATCCTGTTATCTCTGGAGTGGGATTTTTACCTGTCAAAAAATCACAGCGTTGTGAGTGCTTCACGAGCCTGATGTTTCCGGGCTCTGGCGTCTGCTCATAATCTATTGCGCTGAACCCAGTCCAGCACAGGGCTGCTGTCTGGGAGACGCAGGTCCGATAATTACCACCCTCCAGAGACTTAGATTTTCCTAGGAGTTAAAAGAGAAGACAAACCTCTCCTTTGTTTCTCCCCATCGCCTTTATCTCTCTCTTTCCCATCACCCAGGCTAACCCGCTCTGTCTGCTTTAATTAGGAATTAATCCCTTTCATGTAGCAGGCGAACGATCATCAGTTGTCTTGCAGCTCTGCGGGGCCTGATGAATGGATCTCTGTGCTCGTGTGATCATCATTTAACACGTCCCCGTATCAGAGATTCCTGCATAGTTCAAACCAAGGGGGACGCGGAGCTGCTCTGGCTACAGGCAGCAAGGCAGGGAAAGAGCAGTGCTTGATGTTTTCGGCTCAGTGCAGGCAGCCTTGAAAAGGTGGTTCAGTCTGCACTAACAAGTAACTGGGGACTGAAGAGCCGCTGACCCAGAAGGGGGACGATGCAGTATTAATCAGACTCTTCGTTTCTCTTTTTCAGGTTTGTGGGGAGATAATAGCAGGAATCAAATCGGAGCCACTTTGTTTTGTAGCACCATTTTTTTTTTTAAACGGGGCTCATTAATGTTCATTTTGTCTCCAGTTGTATTCATATTGACTTGATGAGGTATTGCCATCAGCATCAATTTAATACATCTGCTATCCAGTGCTGCCAAGACTTTGCAGTGATGGTTAGTCATTATAAATGAGGGCTGGGGTTAGGGATCAATAAAAAAATAACAACTGCTTCACAAAAAAATCTCGTACGTGCCACAGACATTATTGATGCTCATTATGGTATGCATACAAAAAAAAAAACAGAGCGCGTGAGCAATTACTCCAAAATGGAACTGGACCCCTGAGGTCGGAGCACTTCTGAACAATAGGAAATTACAGCTATTTCCAATTGAGTGGTATAGTTCTTTGTAAATCTTGTACTGTAATGTGTACGGAAGATAAATGCATGTAACTGCATTGAAATTGCATATTTTCATAAGGAAATGAGTCCCCCCACCACCACAAAGAATATGGTGTCGACTGGGAAAATAAAAAATATCGTATATCAGCCCCATACAAACACACAGGTGTGTCGTGTTCCCATAGTGGCTGAATACAGTTATCAGCAGCTAGCAGCCTCAGCTCTGGCTTTGAGAAGGCAGTAATATGCTGATTTGTTTTGTGACTTTTCATCCTTGGAGTACCTACAGTTTCTCAGAGCATGTATCACCGTAGGTAGATATCTCCTTCTTTGTTCCCTTATTCTCCAAAGCCAGTTGGGATTATTAGCAGCACAGCTGCTGCTAAACAAATGAATGAGGTAGCAGTATAAACAAGAACGTGTAGCAGAACAGCCCGGTTTAGTGGCAGGTGAATATTTAACATGGTGCTGTCTGCACCTCAGTTCAGTTTGCTTGATGTCTGTTCTGTAGACAGGAATTGTGTTGCCTTTCCTTGCTTGTCTAAGAATGAGACCAGAAAGACCCTCCTTGACTGCACAGGCCAGTTTCATTTTGCAGCACAGCCAGACTATATTGACCCCTCTGCAGCAACATCCTAAGACACCCCTTGCAAGTGTCTGCGCTTACCCTGCCTGGTCAGTTGGGCCGCAGACACAGGGATACGTATTGGACACAGTGACGGTGTTGACAGTTTCTGGAAAGTCCTCCCTTCTGCTGTTTGACTTGAGTAACTCAGCAGCAGAGCTCAAAGCACACACACGCTTCCTGTGCTGGGAAGGGACTATCTGTCCTGTAGAAAATTAGTGGCGAATGGATTAGCATCTAATGAAGTCAGTGCAGTTGTGTAGTGCAC